TCAATGGCCTCGTTCTCTTTTTTAGGTTTTTTACCTTCAAAATAATCAATGAGCTGTTGTACAGGTTCATAGCGTTTTCTGCTCGTTTATATTTTGGTGTAGTTGCAGTCTGCGGAAAGGTGTGCCCTGGAGTAGTCACTGCTGTAGTGTTCAATGAAGAAGGTGGTGCTGTCTGTGTTGCCGAGGCGTTCTGTGCATCTTCTGCATCTACATCAGCATTTTCATCTTCTCCATGGCCGCGGTCTTCCAAATTTTCGGTTTCTACATTTCCAGCCCTTTCCTGATATATATTTGAGTTAAATTCGGCAGTCTTATAATGTATTACGTCAATATCTTTCACATTAGACGACGTTTTGGCAAATGCCAAAAAAGGACGGAAAAATTTCATGTAGTCAGCCCACTGCCATTTCTTTATGTTGCCCACTGCTTGGCCGGTCTTTGGTTTGGTAGATTTTATATATTTTGCAAATGTGTCTCTGATATTCTTCCACCTTTTTTTTACTTCATCACCTAAAAACGATTTTTTTTATAGATTCCTTGCCACTGGTGACACCTTCTATACCATTGGGCATAGCTTTCGAGTTGGCTTTACAACAGTGAGTGCAATCGTAACCGAAGTCTGTGAAGCGATATGCAGACATATGGAGCATATATATTTACCAGAACCAACAGAGAATATATGGAAAAATGTGCTGAAGAATTTGTAAATAGATGGGGATTTCCCAATTGCATTGGCAGCGTGGACGGTAAACATGTAACAATCAAGAGACCTAACAACAGTGGCTCCAATTACTGGTGCTATTTACATAAATATTCAATAGTACTTATGGCCATTGTTGGCCCGGACTCTAAATTTATATGTGTTGATATTGGTGGTCTCGGAAAAAATAGTGATGGGGGTATTTTCGAAACCTCAAACATGGGAAAACGATTTGAACAAAATTTAATGAGTGTCTCTGCACCTAGATTTCTCCCTGGGCAAAATGAACTCTGCTCGTACGTCTTAATTGGTGATGAAGCATTTGCTTTAAAACCATACCTTATAAGCAGACTTTAACAGACGTCAGAAAAGAGAAATACAATGTAAGACTTTGTCGAGCTAGAAGGGTCGTGGAAAATGCGTTTGGTATTTTGTTTCAAAAATGGCGAATATTTTACAGGCCATTAGAAACTAAAGTAGATACTACTATTCTAATTGTACGTACGGCATGTGTTTTACACAACTTTTTACGAAGTAAAAGTGGCGATGACAAATATTTTCAATTCTTAGATCCCCCAGAACCCGTGCTTGGAGCTTTTACTGATATAGCAAATGATCATCGGCGGGCAGCAAGGCTAGCATTTTCTACTCGTGATAAATTCGTAAATTATTTTAATTCTGATATGCCTATGCCCAATATATAGAATGTTCGTTTTCACATTTGTGAAGACTGTAAATTATTTAACAAGTTAATAAAAAATATTAGGTACATACCATTTGTATTTAATTCTTTTCCTATTTCCATCCAAATGTTGTCTTTCTTTCTCACATTCCTGTATTCATCGTTCGACAAATCATACAAACAAGGATACGTTTTCACTATTTCTATCAATAATTCCGTTTTTGCCATTGCGAATTTTTGAAGAACGGCGTCAAAAATGCGGTCAAAGGCGAACTGAAATACGCCGCGATAAAAACGCTGGAACAATCGCATTCGCTTCGCACAAGTCTGAGCCTGCCCGTAATCTGATCGCGAATTCATCGCCGCGAAATTTTCGCAGCCAAAGCGAATATTTCGCGCCGGTTTGTGGGATGCTTAAAGTGAATAGCAGAGCATTGACGTAGTTGTTTATTGTGGGCAAGCAATGTTGATAATATTCTCATTTTAACGTATTTGGCCGATCATTCAAGTTATTGAACGGATGAGGAATTTTCGTAGTAGGTTACAAAGAAAGAGTTGAGAATAACATCCAGAACAACACAAATATTAATAAAACCTACAAATGTCGTACAAAACCTTTGCTCATTCACGAACGCGTTCAGTTTCCAAAATGGCACCAATCCTTCTTATAAATCGACGGCATATTCCATCAAAATTCCATACCAATCTGATAAATTGATTCAAAAATATTTCAACTGCTCAGTGCCTCAGTAAATACTACAAAAACACAATCACATACAACCGTACGTTCCTTCTAAATTATTATTGCCCACTGCTGGACGGGAATCTACGCCATTGTCCGGGCCAGCGATGTTATGATATACTACTGTCAAAGCTTCCTTTTTATTATATGGTTCCATCCAGTGTGCAGCTTCTCAAGTCTTACCTGTCTGTAAGACAGAAATTTGTGGAAAACAAAAATTGCATATCTACTGTCTCCACAATTTTGAATGAGGTTCCTCGAGGATCTGTACTTGGACCACTGTTATTCTTATTATACATCAATGACATACATAATTGCCTCAATAACAGTACTAGAAGCAAGCTTTTCTTCTATGGCGGTGATACTACACTTCTTCCAACTCACCGCACCTTAGGAAACCTAGATAATGAATAATCAGCATGCAAGAGGGACATTCAGAGCTGGTTTGTCGTTAACGGGATTTCCTTAAATGGAAACATAACTCAGAAAACGACTATTTCTCTGCGGAATTTTAACGCAAATGATGGCAACGTAAGAACAGTAAAGTTTTCCTGGGTGTATGTTGACTCTTCTTTGAGTTGGGATGAACATAAATCATATTACAAGATCTTTGACAAAAACGAACCCTGTTCATCAGTTACATTGCATACTTCCACAATAGGATGACATACGCTATACTGGCATGGAGCCATTCTCCACACATGCCTAGAGTGTTTGGCTTATATAGAAGATGTGTTAGATACATACCAAATTAGGTACAGAGATCCTTGCAGGAAAGAATTCATTAAAGTGAATATCGCCTTGCGTATACATCTATGGTTGCCTCATGCATGTTAAACTCACTATCACAATTATATAACTCTTCAAGATACTCATAATAACAACACCAGAAAAAAAGGCCATTTGTGTCCAAATCGTCATCTCTTTTCCAAAACCAGAAATGGTGTTAACTATACTAAGTGACATATAAATCCGAACACCCAGTTTAAATGGTTTTATTTTAATAAAATTTTGTATAAGTACTTAATGAAGCATAATAAGTAAATGATAAAAATTTCAAAATGATTGCACTGCTTTAAAGCCCTTTGACCTTTAATAATGTGTGGATGCACCCTGATGTGCTACACATTGTCCAACGCGCCTAGGCATGCTTCTGGTCAGGTGGTCAATGTCCTCCTGTGGTATCTCATTCCAGGCAACCACCAACTCCTTTCGAAGTGCTTAGAGTCTGAGGAGGACGTTGCAAATTGACCAATCTCCTACCCATCATACGTGCTCAATTGGGGATAAGTCGGGAAATCTTGGTGGCCATGGTAAAATGTGACATCATTATGTTGAAAGAAGTCTATTGTGACTCTTGCAACATGTGGTCGGGCATTATCTTGTTGGAAAGTTGGATCTGCCAGGGTGTCAGGATAGGGTAAAAGATGGGGTTCTAGAACTTCGTGGATATAACGCTGCGCGTTCATGTTACCTCTGATGAAGATTAAAGGTGACCTGGAACCATAAGCTATAGCACCCCAAACCATAACTCCAACAGTGTGATGAACATGTCTTTCAACAAAAAACTGTGGATTCCTCATTTCACCACGTCGCCTTGTAACGCTGGCACGACCATCGTGCATGCCTAAACAAAATCGAGACTCGTCACTAAAGACAATACTGTTCCATTCCTGATCCCAGAGTGACTGTTGTCTGCACCACTCAAGGCGATTACGCCGGTGTTCTCGAGTTAAAGGGAGGACCCAGTGTGGCCGGAATGAAAATAAGCCAAAACTTCTCATTCGTCGGTAAACACTTCGCATGCCAATAGGTCTTCCGTGTTCTGCAAACCATTCATTTGCAATGGACGTGGTAGTGGAGAAACGGTCCCTTAAGGCCAATAATCTTAGGCGGCGATCTTCACGGTCTTTTGTTCTACGGCGGCGTCCAGTGCCCCTTGCTCTTTGCGTACGGCCTTCTCGAAGCCATGCCTGACAACACCTAACCACAGTGTCTACACTTCTTTGCACTCTAACTGCAATTGCCCGAAAAGAAAGTCCAGCTTTCCGAAGTCCCACTATACGGCCCCTATCAAACTCACTAAGTTGACGAAATCGTACAGGTCTCCGTACTCTAGGCATCGTAACCGATCGTAAAGGACGTCAAGAACGAAAATCCGCCAACGTTGATTCTTTACTGCGGCTGAAATATTCATTTTTAGAGCGTTAGTGAATTAAAAAAAGCAGTATAAAAACCGGAATGTCCAACTGATAAGGCTGAAAATTTTTTCACTTGTTATTTACAGTAAGACAAATACATTCACCAACTTTTATTAAAATAAAACCATTTAAACTGGGTGTTCGGATTTATATGTCACTTAGTATATCACGGGCTAAAATTATACAGCCTATTGCCAAATAAAATAAAATTCCTCGATTTTGAACAATTTGGCAAAACTGAGAAATGTTTTCTACTATCCAAAGCTTTTTTGACTTCCAAGACTTCCTTAACCTTAATTATTACAGTCTGGCTTATAATTTGTTAACCATCTCTATTTATTGTTCACCTAAATATTACCTTTGGTGTTATCAACTTGTTCACCTTTTATTGCCACTTCGTGTTTTATGTTTGTGTTATTTACATATGGTTTGTTGTATTTACTTATTCTTTTGTGTTCTAACATACTTTGACCTGTGCGAACATATTTTTGTGTACAAATTATAGCACCAACAAATTATTATTATTGTAATGGCGTCATTGCTCAGTTTGACTAAGCCTTCACGTCATTGCCGGGCCATCAACCTCAATGCTGGCTCAGAACATCGTGATTGCCCGTAACACATATAGGAGAGTAGGATCAAGAGGTAATCAAATATCAATCAATCAGTAAATAGTCATATGTTTATTGAATAGGTACGTAATACATATAATAATAATATAAGTTTATTCACGTATAAGGTATCACAGTTTATTGAAAATAAATATGCATATATACGCAAATAAACTGAAATAATCCCACAGAAGAATTTAACTCTTGTGCGTGGGAAAACATGTTTCACACAATTTTTGCTTAACACAGTTAAATACAGTTAATACATAAATTTAAACACAACATAATCATAAAGGTAAGTGTAATAATATTATATTCAAATACTAACTTATTTTCATTTTAGTGAGTTTTCATGTCGATTATTATTTAACAAGAATTTTTTTATTTCAATCTTGAATCTATTTTTATTTGAAATGGATTTTATAAAAACTTATAAAATCTAGTGGAGAGGTAACTGAAGCATCTTTGACGTACATGTTTTGTTGTAAATGGTGTTTTTTTAATATCCTCGACTTTACTTCTTGTTTCATATTTGTGGCCCAATGAAATGAGGTTTGTTTTATTTTTGAATAAATTGATCAAAACATTGTAAAAAAAGGGTTGCCTAAGATCGAGTAGTCTCGCTTTGGAATATAACATATCAGATGGATATAGAATTGGCCGTTTAAAAATAATTTTCAAAAATTATTTTTTGATTATTTCTAGCTTCTTAATTTGGTTGGTGAGAGCACCACCCCAAGTATGGCATAATTTAGGCGACATTCAATAAGTGTGGTACTTGAATTTGAATAATAATCGTCTTAAATTAGTTACTATATGATCAACATGGAAATTCCACTTTAAATGAGGATCCAAATGAACACCTAAATATTTTGTTTTATCAGCTGAATGTATTAATGTACTTGTATTGTCACATTTAATTTGAAAAGAGGTAAATGACTGTAATTTATTTTTAAGGTTTGTGAACGGCATATACTTGGTTTTCTGAAAATTGATTGTTAGATATTTGTGTCTAAACCAATCTGAAATTAAAATAACGTCATTTTCAACAGCCGCTTTAAGATTATCCCAGGAATTGTTATTAGTATAAAGTATCGCTGTGCCATCTGCAAAACATATTATTGTGCCTTACAACTTCAAGCTAAGTAGTCTATTAATATACACAGTAAAAAATAACGGGCCTAAAACTGTCCCTTGTGGTACACCATAAGTCACAGTTTTTTTCTGAACTTATGGAATAATTTATTTGAACATATTGCTTTCTGTAAAACAGGTAACTTCTCATAAGGTTTTGAGCGTTTCCTCTAATTCCTGCATCGTATAAAGTTTCTAATAGTAGCGAGTGATCCACCGTATCGAACGCTTTTGCTAGGTCTAGGAATATGCATAATGTATATTTACTTTATTCTAATAATTTATGAATTTTTGAAGTTAACAAGGAAACTGCGTCTTGAGTATTGAATCGGTGTTATTATTCCTATTTTGTAGCGGTCTGGGGAAACCCCAGATTCAATTATCAAATTTGTTAAAAATGTTATTGGTTTTCTAATTTCAGGTGCAATTTTTTTGAGTACATCTGATCGTATGCCATCTAAACCTGGACTCTTTTTATTTTTTTTAGGCTGTAAATGGTATATTCTGTTTCATTTTCTGAAACTGTTTGAATTTTGTATGATTACTTTAGGTGAAATATTGGTGTTAGTTTTATTTATTTTAGTTGCCAGTTTCTCTCCCACTTGAACAAAATAGTTATTGAAAACGTTAGCAATATCTGTATCTGCAGTTATTACAGTGTTATTAGTTTTGATTTGTTCAATACTTGTTATTGGTTTGTTTGACTTACAGATTTGGTTGATGGTATTCCATACCGTTTTAGAATCGCATTTACTTTTTTGTAGTATCTCCGTATAACATTTTTGTTTTGTAGCAGTTATTAAATTGGAAAGTTGATTTTTGTAGGTTAAATAATCTTGTTTGCTTCTCCGTAAAAATTGCCTGATGTAATCTGTACTTTTCATTTTCTTTTATTTATTGATGTGATTAGCCCAGTAGTTACCCAGTTTTTTCTAGGAATTTCGTTGTGTTTCATCGTAACTTGACCTATATATGTCATCCCAGGACTCAGTATCATATATATATATATATATATATACACGTATATATTGAAAATGAGGCATTAGAAACTTGGTTGAATAAAATATGTTTGAATATAATCAGACTGATGATTATAATCACAAATTTAGCTTCTTCAAACCCAACCAGAACCCATTTTCTGCAACGAAATTGAAAGATCTTCTATTCAGTTTCAATGGTACTTGCGTCTTATTTGTTGGTACAATTTCGAACTTTGACAGCAAATGGAAGAAAACAGCCTTCGTTTCTAACAACGCAAACCGGGAACCAATGCAATTTCTGGGCCCAACTCCAAATGGCAGATAGGTGTAAGGTATAATTTTGTCTTTGTTCTCATCGCTGAATCTTTCTGGATCAAACCTTTCTGGATGGGGAAAATATCTGTAAATTAAATAAAGAAAATAGTGTGCGAGTATAGTAAAATTTGTTCCAGAAGATACTACCACCCTTATAAAGTGTGGTATGTTGTTATGTTAATACAAGTTTGTACTCAGGAATAGTGAAATTTGAAAATTGTTTTATGAATGTCAACACTTGTCCACTTATCCTTTGCGTTTTAGAGCCTTTGGGTTATTCAAACAGAAGTGGTGAAAAGGGCTTTCGCTATTGGGAAGAAGCATGCATCAACAAAGACCTTCTCCTGTGCGTTATCTTGAAGACGAAGAAAAGGAAAAAGTGGACGACTATTGACATTTATTGTCTCTTATGTGAATCATGTAGGGATCATAAACACAGCAAAACATTGTCTATCAACAAAGTAAACGAAATAACAGAGACCTCTAAAATTAATTTAAAATGTATCGCCAATGGCCCATTTCCCACGTTTTTCATCCGTTCTCTGGAAATATCTCATAAATTATAAATTTTAAGTAAATCATAAATTCTACCTGTAGTCGTGGTGGAGTCCATAGATGGGCACCCAAATTGTATCATCCTCACTCAACTGTAAAGGCTTCTCTCCAGGCTTGGATGGTTCTATCGTGTATGATTTCGTACAGACTCGATCCGTAGCTACGTTATTCGGCCATTTTCGCAACGTTTCTGTAATTAATTAATGAAGCTGGTGATAGACCGTAGCGCGTAGGCGTGGAAACATGCGGACATCCTTAAGGCATCCTGGAGAGACCTACCGGGTGGTACCGCCTCGGTCGACAGATCCTTGTCTACTACACACTTGATCAGAATAGGTTTTATACTGAATACAACAACTTTCGGAACAAACATTTGCCACGGCCCCGCTCAATATGGGTGACACGGACCGCTTCCTTAAAATACAAGACTTTCTGAAATAGCAGTTTTGGTTCCGAATAATTATACTTGCATTATCCTCAATCTAAAGTACCTTTCAACTTGGGTACATCCGTAATGCTCAAATCTTCGCCTCATAGTTCTCTCGAAATTTTTGAATAGACTGTGGTCGTCTGCTTTTCCATTAAGGTTATGATAAATGATCCAATAGAGATTAACCTTGCGGCTTACGTCCGCAGATGAAACAGAACACAACTCAGGTCATCCTCAGCCTATATATACAGGGTGACTTCGAAGTTGAGTCATTTATTTTAACAGTGAGTAGATCTGATCAAAAGAGATGTTTTTTTCCTTTACCATTTTTCTGGTAAAATTAAAGTAACAAAGTTATAGCCCTTTGGAAGTTTGAGTACCGCCCTGTCTCAATAATAATATCATGTACTCGTGTTTGGCAACAACGGATATAATCCGCCTTACCGGTTCATCGCATCGGAAACAAAAAAGCGAAAGAATTTGGAACGATGTTTTTGCAATAAGGTATTTTATTCAGTTCAGTTATACATACAGTCAGTGTCTGTCGGTTAGCGTGTAAATAGTGTCTGTTGCGTGGCTCAAACGAAATAAAAAATGGCACATGTTTATGCGGATCGGTTTCCCAATCGAGTGCAACCAACCCCTCGTGCCTTTGTTAATGTAGTACAACGGGCTCGTGAATCAGGTGACTTAAGACCTCACAGGGGACCTCACGATCAAATACAGGTCCGCACTGAAATACTTGTCGGGAGAATACTTTATAAAACAAGGTAAAAAATTTTTTTTAATTTTTTTTTATTTTTACACACATATTCTGGTTTATCTTCCTTCTACAATCATTATCTGAAAATTAATGACTCAACTTCAACCTGTATATATATATGTATATATATATATGTATATATACAATTTGTTTGGTCACGACATACCGATATTTAAGGGGGGTATTTCTCAGCTATTTTTATTGACAAATCCACCCCCTAGAATGTCCTACCTCACCCCCTTGAAATGTCAGCCATTTTTACTTTTACGTTACGATTACGCTAGTGCGTGTATGAAAACTGTAATAACTGAGAACATAAGAGTCACAGAATAATAAATTTGGTGTCATTTGAACGATAACATGTTGTTCTAGCGATTATTGAAAACTTGTATTGATACTAACCGTCAAACATACTTAAAAACGGACAAAAACAGAAAAAAATATGCTAGTAAATTTATAATTTTGTGCATTTCCGCACACCATTCAACTATGTTATCTACAAAATATATAAATATCGGTATGTCGTGACCAAACACATTGTATAAATAGTCATACAATATAAGTAGTCATACAATAGCCTAAATGATCCCCCTAAATTTTATTCTTATGTTTAGTACAACACATATCTTACCAGATACTACCATATCCATATATTTCATTTTGAGTAAAGCTTCGTAAGTAAGCTTTCCGTTACAAGCGCTTGTAGTGTCCAGGATTTCATCTCGTAACCGGCTTTGAACATCCGGGTTTACAGCCAATTCATGTGCCATGAAACACATCAAGTTTGACACTGAGTCGAAACCACCGAAGAAGAATACCATCGCTTGGGAAGCAATATCTTGGTTAGTGATTTCTGTTACGGCGGATTTGCCTAAAAAAAACAAAGATTAACTTATCTACTACCTAAACTACCTTAAGCGATTAGTCTTCAGACCAGTCGCTTCGATTAATATGAGTATTCACCAAATTAAACTCATAGGTAATGCCGAAGTCTTTCCTAAAAAAAAAGTTATTTGATAAGAATACTTTTATGGTCACTTTGCCACTTTTCTAGATAATAGAGAGTTTTGGTAATCACAAACACCGCATACGTAAATGTGTAGTATTTTGAAATTTGCGCCAACCATCACGAGCCATAAATGTCAGAAAAGGCTGACGTTAACGTTAACATCTGAGGTATTTGCACCGAATTCAGAATAGAAGTATCAATCCTGTGATTTGTTTGTAGTGAGGATGAAAATGCATGTTACAGGTAGACTTGTCATGAGTTAAATTTGTGACATATCGGTCATTAAATTCGTATTTTTAATGTTCTTTTTCAAAAGTGAGTGTTAGCTGGTAACTGTGGCGTTGGATGATTTTAGGACATCATACTTTTGCATAATTTGCAAAGGACGGCACAAGCCTAATGAAAGTAGATCTTTCCACAAGTATTATTGTTAGTAACATAACGTCGGACATCTGACAATACCTGCTATATGCAGGAACCATAATTTTAGGCGGGACGGAAAAAACTTTATAAATTTTATACTACCGGCCTTAAGACTCTACAACTTTGGTCACAAAAAATAAATGACGTTTAACAAATATTTAATGCGTTTTTATCTAAATGAACAAAATTAGTGCAGATAGCTGACATTTTTGCTAACTTTCTTTGCAGTTAGCAGATATTGTACTATGATGCATGTTATTCATTATGTCAAATCAAAAGTTTAATGCGTTTACAAACCAAAAAGATAATAGCATTCTCAGTTTATTTATTTATTTATTTATTTCCAACAGGTGAAACCCAATTACAGGAAACGCTGAAAAAAATAACAATTAAAGAGACATGGTTCTTGGACTTAAATCTATAGTATCACACATTCTAAATAAGATTGGATGATCTATAGCAGTTAATAATCGATGCACAACTGTCACTGTAAATATCACACGATTCAGTAACACTGTTCATGACGCAGCACATGAGATTAATTGGCGATTTTGTCATAACATTTGTACGGCCAGCTTGACAATAGAATGCCGTTTGTTGTCGACTCCCTAGCCTTGGAACGCGGAAACATATTTTTTCAAGTAAATTTTGACAGTCAATTTTATTGTGAATGAGGCCATACAAAAACGACAAAGCAAATATGTTTCGTCTTGTTGACAGTGAATCCAAATTGAAAAACTCTAATAGGGCACTATGGTCACAACCTTTTTTTGGATAAGAACCTGTGCATTTAAGGTGAAAATACTTCTTTAAAGCTTTACGTTGAATGGTCTCAAGGATCACGACATAATTTTGGTATTTAGGAGACCAGATCAGAGTCGCATACTCCAACTTGCCCCTGACAAAAGTAAAAAATAAAGTCATTAATGTATCAACATTGGAGAAACCCTTCCAGCTTCTGATACAGAAACCAAGTAGTCGAGTGGCAGCCGACGAGATATTGAGTATATGCTCAGTAAACGTTAGCTTGGTATCAAAAATGACTCCAAGGTCTCTATAAGAAGTACATCTGTCTATAACCTGACCATTGATGTTATAATTATCATAAATTAAATAGTTAACTTTTCTTGTATAAGTCATAATTTTAGATTTCGAAACATTCAGACTGAGACAGTTTCGTGAACACCATGACGAAATTAGAGCTAAGTCATCTTGCAACATGACGCAATCCTCGACTGTCTTGACTGACGTGCAGATTTTAAGGTCATCAGCGAAAAACAAATGGAAACACTTCAGTTCAAAAGACAAGTCATTAATAAATATTAAAAACAATAATGGACCTAGATTTGACCCTTGAGGTACCCCAGACGTGGCCCGATAGTAACTCGACCTATGACCACAATATTCGACAAATAACCTTCTATCCCTCAAATATGAATTCATGAGCGACAGCATTGCATCAGACATACCCACTGTTTTAAGCTTATCCAGAAGTGCATAATGATCAACTTGATCAAACGCCTTCTGAATATCTGTGTATATGACATCAACTTGTCCCTGACCGTCCAGTACTTCAGAAATGTACTGAGTAATTAGAGCCAAGTTGGTGACCGTAGATCTGCCTCTCATAAACCCATGCTGATTAATAGAGACTGCACCCCTGACCGAGCAGTAAACCGTTTCATAAGCGATGATCTCAAACAACTTGCTGAAATTGCACAGGATTGCTATTTGGCGATAGTTGGAAATATCGGAGATATCTCCACTTTTGTGAATAGGACATATTTTAGAGGTCTTCCAGATATTTGGATATATCTCTGATTTTAGAATTAGGTTGAATATGGAAGCCAGCGGTTTCGCTAGTATATGAATGCAATCTTTAACGAAAAAACTTGGAATACCATCACATCCAGACGTCATTTTGTTCTTTAATCTTTTCGAAGCCCTAATTACGTTTTCTTCACTTATATTTTTTAAGGAAATGATATCGGTAGAATTATTTGTTGGAGGAGATGACCCTAGTAGACCAGACGGGATAAAAACTGTCGAAAAGAAGGTGGCAAAACTGTCCACTATATCCTGAGGCGTATCGCAGACATTGCCGTTAAGCGTCATCCTTTTGGGGATTCTAGATTTGCTAGGATCATTGACAATGGCATCCTCAACCGATTGGACGTAAGCGGAGTAGGCAACACTGATCTGGTCCTTAATGAGCTTCCTAAAATTACTGAACTGATCATAAGAAAACTTAGTACCGTCACGTTTCCAGTTCCTTCTTGCTATGTCCTTCTTCTTGATATAAGTATAATTTCACGTGTGAACCATGGGGGATACGAAAACATTTTATTTTTACATTTAGGGACATGGACCTCAAAGATGTTATTGCTAACTGAATACAAGGCGGTACAAGCGTCATCAACATTAACTGCACTGATCACCTCCGTCCAATTAACATCTTGCAAGGCTGTGTACATTTCAGGAAAGTTAGCTTTGCGAAAGTTAAACCGTGGAGAATTAGCAAATGGGAATTTCGTTGGAGATCCGGATGTAATGAATTCCATGATCAGTGCAGGATGATGAACGTCCTCTTTAACAGAAGGTGTATTATCTCTGAGGACTTCTATTTCGATATTTCCTAAAATTAAATCCAGTATTCGACCATTTATATTTGGAATATTATTAAAATTAGTTAAATCTAAAAACGAAATAAAGTTGCTCATTAAATGAACGTTCAGCTTCTTTCCTTGACATATGGCAAATTGTCGTAAAACATGTGGCAGTCCTTAGATATAACACTTATAATCTGAAATGACGGGTAGCTGTTTTGGTCTCATAGGCAACTCCTGAGGCTCTTCACTTCAATTTTTCCATCAGGATTATAACATAGTACTTTGATGTCTGTGACTACATTGTCCCTTCCTGGTCTAATTGTTGAGTACCGCTGCACCTCTGTTCGAGAGTAGTCCTTGAAGAAGTCGTAACTCAAATGGATCACCTCATATGGCTCTGGTTTTGTCTTAGCTTATTTTGACGCCTTTACATAGTCATTTGGTAATTCAATAACTATTTCTCAGTTTTCTTTAAATGCAACTGTGTACAGAATCACATTCTATTTGGGTGTGTCCTTTAGTGAGATATTTCTGAGAAAATCACAACGCCGTGTTTCATTGCGAAGTTAAGAAAAATAGCACGCGTAATTGTCAGATAGCTGGAATTGCCGCTCATTGACAGACGTGTTGCCAGTGGGAGGTATTGTTTTGGCTGAATAATTCAAAAATTAAATTTTTCCGCAGTTAGCGGACTCTATCACAATGTGAGCTGTAGGTAACCGGTAAAAAATGTGCATATACCTCAAATTGGACAAAAATGTCAGATAGCAGGTATTGTCAGATGTCCGACGATAAGTTAAAACAACGTTGTCAAACTATACGTAGTCAAAACTATGCACTAAAATTACGCAATCCTGATGAAAAGCAACATATAGGCTTGGCTTTGTCTAATCTATTGCGTATTTTTGATTGATAAAACTATCTATTTGCAGTGCTGAAATTAGTGCTAAGTAGATATGCAGCTAGTTCTAAACTGAATACTTTGTGTGGGAACATGATCCTGTTTTCAAAATATAATAATATAAACCAGAACGAAGTATACTTTAAACACAAAATTCAGTACCATTACCAGTATACAGGGTATCCAAATAGTGTGACAAAGCTCAATTTCTTCGTTACTATTTGAAGTTGCAGAAATAAGTTGGATATAAAATTTGTAGGCAAAGCTGAAGGCTACAACCTAAAATCATTTTTAGCTATACGGGGTCCCATAAATTAGTGGCAATACCAACTTGTATTTTTTAAATGGTAGACTCTGTACTTCTGTTGATTTTTAGAAGCACCTTTTCTTGGCCATTCTGCCAAAGTATGGTTTCGGAGGTTTGTAGTGGGTATTTCGGAATATATGGCCAGTTTTTCGCTTCGTCGCTTTAGATAACATCTGTTTTATTATACTCAGTGATGAAAACAGTGGTAGACATTTTTTACGTACATTGCAAATGATCCCCCCCATAACCCTCCTCCATTTCTCTTCAAATAATATTGATCTATGACTAAAGTAATAAAAATACCGCTTATTATAACCTATAAAAGGGTAATTGTTGAAATGTTAACCTACAGCAAAGTTTTATTGCAATTTATTTCTAAATCCCAACTCAAATGAATTCAGTAAAAAATAAAAATGATATTGGGATATTTTGGTTTTTCCTTGTATCTCCGGGAAAACGACAAATTGCAGAACTTTCTAGGGATCGGTATAGGCTCCGACATTGTTCCTCTTAATCAACGACCTCCTTTCCTATATTACAGTCCAAACCTCAGCTGATGGCATTTCGACTTCTGCCAACGCGGCTACTTCGATGTAAAAAAGTGCCATTGATTTAAGTACCTTAATCCGCAAGTTTGCCCTCATTTAACCTTTTTCACATCTCTTATAATTTTCAAGTTCTCAGTGCTGAATGTCTAATTTGATGCTTCGGTGTATAACATTAAAACTTGATTTAAAATTTTTATTATCGAAAGTGACATATAGCTTTGGTATCATCAGTCTCAGGACAACATGGAATATGGTTACCTTTGAACACATTAGACTCCTGAACTGTGGAGAATCCCGTATCAATAACGGTCTCTTCTTCTTGCTTAATCTTTCCTTTTCTGGCTTCCATGAGTAGATTGATCATATCCGGTCTCACGATTCCTTTTTCCTCTCTAGCTTTTATGGTATCATCCACCAAATTATAAAAAAAATGTTTCACCTCTTCATCGAACAGGGGAATTTTCAATAACTAAAATATTTTTTACATTTCAATGCATGTATACTAAGTGACATATAAATCCGAACACCCAGTTTAAACGGTTTTATTTTAATAAAATTTTGTATAAGTACTTAATGAAGCATAATATGTAAATGATAAAAATTTCAAAATGATTGCACTGCTTTAAAGCCCTTTGACCTTTAATAATGTGTGGATGCTCGCTGATGTGCTACGCATTCTCCAACGCGCCTAGGCATGCTTCTGATCAGGTGGTCAATGTCCTCCTGTGGTATCTCATTCCAGGCAACCACCAGCTCCTCTCGAAGTGCTTCTAGAGTCTGAGGAGGACGTTGCAAATTGAGCAATCTCCTACCCATCATATCCCACACGTGCTCAATTGGGGATAAGTTGGGAGATCTTGGTGGCCATGGTAACAATGTGACATAATTATGTTGAAAGAAGTCTATTGTGACTCTTGCAGCATGTGGTCGGGCATTATCTTGTTGGAAAGTTGGATCTGCCAGGGTGTCAAGATAGGGTAGAAGATGGGGTTCTAGAACTTCGTGGATATAACGCTGCGCGTTCATGTTACCTCTGATGAAAATTAAAGGTGACCTGGAACCATAAGCTATAGCACCCCAAACCATAACTCCAACAGTGTGATGAACATGTCTTTCAACAAAAAACTGTGGATTCCTCCTTTCACCACGTCGCCTTCTAACCCTGGCACGACCATCGTGCATACCTAAACAAAATCGAGACTCGTCACTAAAGACAATACTGTTCCATTCCTGATCCCAGAGTGACCGTTGTCTGCACCACTCAAGGCGATTACTTCGGTGTTCTCGAGTTAAAGGGAGGACCCAGTGTGGCCGGTATGAAAACAAGCCAAAACTTCTCATTCATCGGTAAACACTTCGCATGCCAATAGGTCTTCCGTGTTCTGCAAACCATTCATTTGCAATGGACCTCGTAGTGGAGAAACGGTCCCTTAAGGCCAATAATCTTAGGCGGCGATCTTCACGGTCTGTTGTTCCACGGCGGCGTCCAATGCCTCTTGCTCTTAGCGTACGGCCTTCTCGAAGCCATGCCTGACAACACCTAACCACAGTGTCTACACTTCTTTGCACTCTAACTGCGATTGCCCGAAAAGAAAGTCCAGCTTCCCGAAGTCCCACTATACGGCCCCTATCAAACTCACTAAGTTGACGAAATCGTACAGGTCTCCGTACTCTAGGCATCGTAACCGATCGTAAAGGATGTCAAGAACCAAAATCCGCCAACGTTGATTCTTTACTGCGGCTGAAATATTCATTTTTAGAGCGTTAGTGAATTAAAAAAAAAGCAGTATAAAAACCGGAATGTCCAACTGATAAAGCTGAAAATTTTTTCACTTGTTATTTACAGTAAGATAAATACATTCCCCAACTTTTATTAAAATAAAACCATTTAAACTGGGTGTTCAGATGTATATGTCACTTAGTATATCTGCTACAGGTATGTATTTTTTCAACAGATTCAAATGTATCTCAAATAAATGAACCTTTCATCGTCGGGAAACAATTCTCTTATCGATATCTAAAATGACCAGAGTGTTTTTAACTTAATGTAATAAATAATAAAATAAATAAAATTCTTGAGTGTTTGATCCTCAGGCTTATAAATCTTATGAAGGCTACTCTCGTCGCTGCTTCTCAAGGTGATCCGGTGGACCTTAGCCTTTAGGTCATAGGCACTGTAATGTCAGTAAATGTGGTTTGTCAGGTCTGGTTTCCCAAAAACCAGACAAGTTGTAAAGGATACGAGACAGGGAGAAAGAAAGGAAGGAAGTAGGAGCGAAAAAAGAAAGAAAAGTAACTGTGTTATGTAAATATAGTAGGGTAGATGGATCTAGGGACTCTTATATTGTACTATATAAATTTTGACTTGTCCTGAACTAAATTTTGGGTGTTTGGTTTTTAAAACTATAGTTTTGAAGGTCTAAACACGAATTTAATTTTGCTCACAGTGCAAGTTGCGGGCTGGATTGCTTGCATATCTCCTTGACTGTTTAATCCACTGCTTTACTCAATGAGGAGTTGCTGTGCGATTCCACTTGCTGGTAGCGCCGCTTTGCCATACTCATGATGGAACCCCTAAGGTAGGGGATCTCAAGATTTCTATAGATGGTATTGTTTCAAACATACCATGGGGATATTAGCTAATGTTCTGAGAGTTCTACTCTGCAGAACTTGTAGCTTACCCATGTGTGAGCAAAAAAGCACCAAGTTTTATTATCCAAAAAGGGAATCTCTTTTGAATAAGTTTATAAAGGAGGCGTGCGTGCCACACCTAGTCGAACGCTTTCGCGATATCCAGAAAAAGGATTCCCGTGTTCTTGTCATGAGAGAGTCCGCTGGTTATACGCTCCACCAGTCTGACTGCCTGTACTATTTTCATGAAGACTAGAAGGTCAAAAATCATTTTTCGTTTCCTTAGTTGTGTCTCGTTATCAACCCCTCAGTCAGACTTTCAAATGTCGTGACTGAAAGTCGAGACCAAATCAGACATTTTATATCCTTCCCTGCCTCCAACCTTTTTTCAAAACCTGCCCATCAAATAACGTATTACTCATAAAATTACCTCGAATATCCAAGGAGCAAGTGAAAATCCGATGAACTTCAATGTCATTGTAATTGAAGAGAAATCCGTCGTCCTTTTGCCCATAAGGTAAAAAGCGTTATTCGGTTGATTGAGTGAGTCACATTCTATACCAAACGCACACGTAGCAATCACATCATTGCAGTATCTTGTAAAGGAGTCTTTCATTTCCATTTCAACGATGTCATCGTCCTTTTTGACGAAAAACTCGGAGAATCTTTCGGCACAATCCGACATCAACAAGAACATTGCCCTCATTTTGCTGCTGGTAAAAGATGGACTCAGAATAGGTCTCATTTCTTTCCATCTTTGCCCTACAATAATAAAGTCATCTATATTGATAGTGATCAGTACATGATAATGTTTATAATATGTAGCTAGGTGTGTCGCGTTATGATATTTGGATTTCAGTGTTACGGAAACTGAAGTACCTTTGAGAGCAAACAAATTTTTTTCCCACAAAGGGTCACAGTTGTCTGGGATAAACGATCTGTGGTCCACAAAATGGTCAAAATCTTTGACACACACCTGTTTTATTAGTTCGAGGTCTCGGATGATTAGTGTTGGTATATTCATTTGATACATTCCGGAAAACCTAAGGAGTAAGACATAATTGTATTATTTTTTAACCGTACAATAGCATATAATCACAAAGACTATCCATGGCAAACAGACTGAAAAGAGCTTTTAAATGAATTATTGATCTCATCAAAACAACCCTTTTCTGGGTTGATTTTGATGAGATTGTTAAAGGAGGCAGAAGATGAAAAGACTGAAAGATCTTATAAAGAAAATACGAGGGATGTCCTTTAAGTTTTGCATATAGAAACATAGTAGGCCGCGCGGATCGAACGTCAGTACTGAATATTAACCTCACTCTTTCACATGTGTTTTGCTTGACGATCTATTTGACTTTTACAAAAAATTCAAAAGGGTTTGAAAACTACCCCCATCCCTATATAAATTTCAAATTACGATTTCTTGATATCGTCAAAAGTACAAACTTTTCTGCAGCAGCAGAGTTTAGTTAAACTTCTTAATTTCTGTACCATTGGACATTATATATGCCAAATCAAAGTGTTCGCTTCGTCTTGTAATACATGGGGCAGAAATGTGTCTAACTGTAAATAGTGTAGAATGCAGATTATTTTCTATGAAAATCGGTAGTCTTTAATACTTAGGCCCGTATCGTCAGTCGTCCCTACAATTTAGTGTAGGGCGCCTTTATGGCCTCCTTGATTGTCATAGTTTTCTACTTCTCCGTGTCAACGCTCTATTTTGAGGTTATGTCACAAATATCTATTTGCATCAAATTGTGCTTGCATTTGAGTTATATCATGTTTTATCAGCCTGAAATTTCCTACAATTTTAAAAAAAAACATATCTTCACAATAGGAGAGCGCTGACGCTGACACGGGGCAAGTGTAATCTAGAAATTTTTGAAAGAGAGAAAGGAGTATGACAATCAAGGAGGCCATAAACGCGCCCTACAACACCTCCCCTAATGCTTCAGGAATTAAAATATTATATATAGTAGTAGGACAATTTATTAAACATTATTTCTTCCAAAAAGCTTATAGTTTCAAACAATTCGAAGTTTGAAGCAGTTCGCTATTTCCAGCAGAGTACATTTGATTTGGTATATCTGAGAAATAGTACATCAAATTGCCTCAGAAATAATTTTCTACTGTTCTTCGAGATAATTTCGCTCTATTTGTTTTTCCTTCTTGCTACATGCATTTACCATCTATTTTTTTTCTTATTACAACCTGCCACCTTTAAAAATGCCAACCCATCATTTTCTAGAATGCCAGCACCTACAGAAAAAGCCATAGTTTTTTAATAATAATTACATACCTTTCTCCACGATCAGCATCATACATTCGTTTCACCATGTCAGCAAAGGACTCCTGTCTGAATGTAGCCTTGTCCATGTTTCCCAATAACCATGTTGTATCAAGTTGTTTCAAGTTTTTCCTTGTCCAATAAGTATAGCGTCGATGCAAATACACGTAGACACACAAAATGATAGTCACCGCTCCTACTAATACTGCAATCATTTTGTTGATACTGAAAATCATATAGCACTTCACGATTAATTATTTGTTTATTGATAGTACTGTGAAACTGACCAAAGAAATGATGAATGATGAAAATGAACTTGAATAAATTATGCGTCAAATTGTAGGAGTTACTTATGTGGTGCGAAGGATGTTTGTCAGTCTGTCATCAAAAATAATATTAACCTCACGAAAATGGAAAGATACAGGTAATTTGAAAACTGAAGTTATTATTGCTTTAATTAAAGAGTAAAAGCGGTTTGTATCTTTTTGTAAATTGGTTCATTATCACTATCCTACAACAACGCAAGTTCTAATCTCATTTTTGTTTAGAATTGTTTGTGTAAGAGAGGGTAAATTACGCTTCTTCGGTATCTATCAATTTCCTTAAGCAAAATTAATATAAATGTTATGCTTTACTACACATTTGCAAAATATACTTAATCAACCGGTTGTTGAGCGTAGAACATGAATTCACTATTTATCCGTATTTATACTATTTCCAATTATCCAGTGATATTGAACGTGTTTGTCATAGTCTAGCTACGATATCACGGTGCATATTCTAAAGTGTTCCGTTTGTGTTTTGTTTTGGAATCAGCAATCGTCCTATGTAATTTAAGTCGTTTAAAAATATCATCCTAATAATAATAATAATAATAATAATAATAATAATAATAATAATAATAATAATAATAATAATAATAATAATAATAATAATATTTATTCACTTAATGTACAAAGATAACAAACAATATGAGTAAATAAATATAAAATCAAAACAGGCCCAATAGAAGGTATCGCCTGTACATGGACCAATAAATTTAAGTTGAAACTGTAGAATGCAAATGACAAAAAAGGACAAAAATTAGCTACAGTAGATTATGTATTTAGTTGTATTTATGAGTTTATGAATTTCAGTCCTAGATATAGAATGTAGCCACTTTTTTAAATTTCTTTTGAAACAATTTCCGAAACGTAAATCTTTTAAGTCTTTAGGTATAATTTCATAAAATTTAGGCGCTAGATAGAGATATGATCGCCGCATTATAGATTTATGCGGTTGAGGAACTACTGTGCCACGAATTTTGTACCTGGTATAATGATTATGTTCAATTTTTTGGTCGGTGTTTACAAATTTATGGTAGTGAGTGATACTGTGTAAGAAATAAAGCTGTCTTATATCATACATTTGAACATCTGCGTATAATTTTTCAGTGGGATAAAGTTTCGGTTTTTTAAATATCATTTTTAGAATACTTTTTTGAAAAACATCTAAATTATAGATATGTGAGGAACATGCAGCTCCCCATGCTAATATACCATATGTGAGATGAGGCTCAATCAGTGCATGGTATAATGTTCGAACATATTTTTCTGTCAATATATTCCCAAGGTATTTAATTTTGTAGGATACAAATCTAACTTTCTTTAAAATATAGTTGACATGAATGTCCCATCGTAAGTGAGGATCCAAGACCACTCCAAGGTATTTTATGTTGGGCACTCTATTAATTTGCATTTTTTGATCATTAATATTGAAGGAGAAATTTGTGTAATTTGGCAGATGTCTAGCATAAGATCCAAATGGTAAAAAATGTGTTTTAGAGTAGTTAATGCTTAATTTTCTACTGTTAAACCACCGAATAATTTTGATAAAATCATTTTCAATTACATTTTTCAGATCAGACCAGTCAGTGCCTTCATATAATATTGCAGTATCATCTGCAAAACTAGTTATTTTGCCAACACAATTAATTTGGAAAATATCATTTAAATATATATTGAATAACAGCGGACCTAAGACAGTTCCTTTTGGGACACCACACTTAATATACATTTCTTTACTAAATGATCCTGATATCTGCACAGATTGTGGGCGATTTGACAAATAACTTTCGATCAGTGAGTACGCGTTTCCTCTGAAACCAATTCTCTCCAATGCTTCTAATAATAATTTGTGATTAACTGTGTCGAAAGCTTTCTTTAAATCAACAAAAATGCAGATTGAAGGGATTCTGTTATCAATATTTTGATGTATTTGATTTACAATTTTAGTTATTGCGTCCGATGTAGCCTTCCCTTCTGTAAATCCATATTGATTTTCACTTAAAATTTTGAATTTTGTGAGGTATCGAATCATTCTAGTAGATAAAACTTTTTCAAAAACCTTTGCTACACTGGATGTTATTGATATTGGTCTATAGTTGATAACATCTGTTTTTGTTCCTGATTTATGTATCGGTATTATATTGCCTTTTTTTAAAATTGAGGGATATATGCCAGATTCAAAGCATTTGTTGCTTAGGTAAGTGAGTGGTTCTGTCCTCGGCTATAATTTTCAAATGCTCGCTTTTAATACCATCGAACCCAGATTTCCGATTTTTTAAGGACATAACAGTGGTGTATACTTCACATTGCTCGACTTTATCCAAAATAAATGAGTTCAAAGTTCTTTTTGAAGGCTGAGTATTTTGTACATTTGCTTGTATATTACTTGCTAAATTTTCGCCTATGTCAGTAAAGAATTGTACAAATTCATCGCATATCTGTTGAGTTTTTTTAATACTGTTCCCGATGTTGTATTTAACTCAGTGACACACTCTTTAACTTTTGTTTTCCCAGTAATCTCATCAATAGTTGTCCAAAGCCGCTTAGGATCATTTAAGTTATTGTTCAATTTATTTAGGTAATGTTTTCCTTTGGTTTGCCTTACAAGCTCTATAAATTTATTTTTATATTGGTTGTAGCAGTCGGTATTCTCTGTAGTTGGCGTTAGTTTCATTACATTATATAGTCTTTCTTTTTCTATTGCCGATGTTATTAATCCTTTGGTAATCCAGGCATTTCTGCTTTTCTCTTTGTGACTAATTATTACTTTATTGGTACTAATATCTATTAGTTTTTTTATTTTCTCTATGAACAGTCCCGTTGCTTTGTCTATATTATTTATAGAGTATAATTGTTCCCAGGATTCTTGTTTGACATTTGATATTAGTTTTGAATTGTCGACAAAAAATTTGTAATTTTCCTGGTTGTTACTAACGGTAGGGATGTTAGAATGTTTTTCATTTGAAGATATCAGTAAAATAGTGGAGAAGTGATCAGTAATATCGCTTTCTAGGATTATTGGTATACAAGTAATTTTGTTGGATAGGTCTTTCACAAAGCAGCGATCTATACATGTGCCATTGATGGACCTTGTTGGTAGGTTTATATAGGACAGAAATCCGTTACTTGATAGGATATTCAAGTATTCATTTGTGATGGGATCATCGTCCAAAATATTTATATTGACATCTCCCAAGAAAATATGTTGCTTTAAATGAACTTTATTTTGATTTTGAAAAAAAAAATCGATATTCTTTAAAAACTCGTGGGGTTCTGAACATGGCGGACGATAGATTGCAGATACCTCAATTTTGTTATGGTTAATTTGGATCATTATGTTTAAAATTTTGATTCTATCGGTGAAAGTGAATGTATCATGATTATATTGCAGTTTATTTCTTACAAAAACTATCACCCCATCGTTTTGGTTATAAGTGCCAAAGTTATACAGCGTGTCATATCCCTGCTGATTGAAGCAAGAAATATCAGCCACTTGCCACGTTTCAGTTAAAACTATTAGATCAAAATTGTACCATATTTCTTCTCATTCCTGCAATTCTTTTCTGTATGATTAAAACGGTAGCATTTTCTACACTGAGAAATGTCGTTATTTTGATATACTGTTAAACATTGCCATCCCAGAAGTATTCTTCTATTATTGTCTTCGAAGATTTTTTTGAATAGCTTTCCAGAAGTTTCCGCGTAGATAGTGTAATTGTTTCTTGATGGAAAATATTTGATAAACTTTACTTGTATGTCTCCACTCTGAATCATATACCTAATTCTGATGTATAAGATCTAAATTACAAATAATCCTTCTTATGTGGGGTCATTCTAAATTTTCGTCATATGCAGTATGCTGAAGGTAAATTTACACATTGTATATGCTGTCAAAATCAAATAATATTCAGGTTACCTATTAACGGAGTTGAGAAAAGTGAAATCTGGAAAGCAGTCAGGGGGAACTAGGGGTATGCATTCCCTAAGGCACCGCTTTCATTTATCGATGCGAGGCGCTGAACATTGAGAAACACTACAGACAAATGATAAGTCAGTTAGACAAATGATAAAGGTATACTTTATCTGAAGTCACTTGAAACACTGTGAAATACCGGGTGCGTTTTATATATCTATATTTAACACGCTCTGTTGCTGCAAAAATCGCCAAATTTCGCAGCAAATATCCCCCGTATAAGAGATCAAAGGCAGTTTCACCGGTCCACGTGGAGTAAAGCACGCCTATGCGTGGACATAGCCAATGAGAAAGCGTGTATTTCAGAGCTCGGAACAAGTGCAGGTGGCTACTGAAAATTGAAACAGTTTAGCCAGTGCCGTGTAGCGGTGAATAAACGTGTTTTCTTTAGTCTGTCCGTGTTTTTTCATAGATTTTATTAGTTTGTGTGTTTTTGACTTTTGAATACTCAGTTTACTTGTTGATTTAATTGTTGTGTTGATTGTTCTTGTGTGTCCTAAATATGGCTCTTTGGAGACCTTGCGAAAATGTTGGAGGATATATACGTAAGTGTTTAATAAGCTTGTGCTCGAAGTTATATAAATTCTTATCTTAGAGATTTTCGTATTTGATATAATTAAACTTTTGGGTATTTTTGATCCACAAAAATGCTTTTTTCAATAGTTTTGTACACTAGTGTGGTCTCAGTAATTACTGACATGCCGTAAGGTCATAGTAGATATTTCGGTAATTCGGATTATCGGTGAAATTTTAAAAATCTAAGAATGAAATCATCGCCACAATCAGCTTTGTTTATGTTTTGAAATTCCAACAGTTTTTAGCGAGACCAAGTTTTTTGCGGAGGGACAACATCCAGTTTTAGACCTTTTCCAAAGCTCCTATAATTTTGGATGTTTCCAAGACTCATTAAAATTCTTTGAAGAAACCATTCAGAACACTTGAATTCGGTTGTAATTAATTGTATGTGCTAGCTAACCGATACAATGTATAACAAAGGAGTTCAGTTTAAGCTGTTTGCAAGTTGGCGATCATAACACTCGCACTAGTTATGTTGCTGTCATTTAACACTTTATTAATTGATATAATATACTAAGTGACATATAAATCTGAACACCCAGTTTAAATGGTTTTATTTTAATAAAAGTTGGTGAATGTATTTATCTTACTGTAAATAACAAGTGAAAAAATTTTCAGCCTTATCAGTTGGACATTCCGGTTTTTATACTGCTTTTTTTTAATTCACTAACGCTCTAAAAATGAATATTTCAGCCGCAGTAAAGAATCAACGTTGGCGGATTTTGGTTCTTGACGTACGGAGACCTGTACGATTTCGTCAACTTAGTGAGTTTCATAGGGGCCGTATAGTGGGACTTCGGGAAGCTGGACTTTCTTTCCGGGCAATTGCAGTTAGAGTGCAAAGAAGTGTAGACACTGTGGTTAGGTGTTGTCAGGCATGGCTTCGAGAAGGCCGTACGCAAAGAGCAAGGGGCACTGGACGCCGCCGTAGAACAACAGACCGTGAAGATCGCCGCCTAAGATTATTGGCCTTAAGGGACCGTTTCTCCACTACCAGGTCCATTGCTAATGAATGGTTTGCAGAACACGGAAGACCTATTGGCATGCGAAGTGTTTACCGACGAATGAGAAGTTTTGGCTTGTTTTCATACCGTCCACACTGGGTCCTCCCTTTAACTCGAGAACACCGCCTTGAGTGGTGCAGACAACGGTCACTCTGGGATCAGGAATGGAACAGTATTGTCTTTAGTGACGAGTCTCGATTTTGTTTAGGCATGCACGATGGTCGTGCCAGGGTTAGAAGGCGACGTGGTGAAAGGAGGAATCCACAGTTTTTTGTTGAAAGACATGTTCATTACACTGTAGGAGTTATGGTTTGAGGTGCTATAGCTTATGGTTCCAGGTCACCTTTAATCTTCATCAGAGGTAACATGAACGCGCAGCGTTATATCCACGAAGTTCTAGAACCCCATCTTTTACCCTATCTTGACACCCTGGCAGATCCAACTTTCCAACAAGATAATGCCCGACCACATGTTGCAAGAGTCACAATAAACTTCTTTCAACATAATGATGTCACATTGTTACCATGGCCACCAAGATCTCCCGACTTATCCCCAATTGAGCACGTGTGGGATATGATGGGTATTCCACAGGAGGACATTGACCACCTGATCAGAAGCATGCCTAGGCGCGTGGGAGAATGCGTAGCACATCAGGGTGCATCCACACATTATTAAAGGTCAAAGGGCTTTAAAGCAGTGCAATCATTTGGAAATTTTTATCATTTACTTATTATGCTTCACTAAGTACTTATACAAAATTTTATTAAAATAAAACCATTTAAACTGGGTGTTCGGATTTATATGTCACTTAGTATAATTGCATTGTATTCCTTTTTACAAGCTCATCACTTTTGGTTTATATTAACGATTGTATCTTAATTATGAGTCAGTCATTCAATCTCAGTCACAGCGAACACACACACACTGTAATTCCGGTTCGGTCCATGTAAACTATTGTTGGAATCAAATAAAGTTTTTTAAAAACGAAGTTTGAAGTTCCGACTACATAATTCACTCCCTCAAGAGACACTATCCAATTTCATAAGTATTCTAAAAAGTACAGAATTTATTTAAAACATACCTGAAGCGCACAACTATCTGGGTTACCAACTATTACGAACTACAAGTGTTCATCAATTTGCATGTAAATGCGATTCAGCTCAAGGTGAATCGTTGGTACGATCTAAATTGGGATAGTGATGAATGCAACTGCTAGTGCGAGTTAAAGTAAATTTTTTTAACCAAGTATCAAGTGATTTTGCACTGTCATTGCGTAGAAGCACTCTCGTTGGTAAAATGATAAACGTATCTATACATACATATAGACCAAGCGAACTAGGTATTAGATGGTCTATAGAGTATCCCAACGAAAATGAGAAGTAGTTTTATAGAAATAGTGTAAAGCACTTCACAAGTTTTTTTAATGAGACACTATTTGGAAAGAACTGTCGTAACAACAAGAAGATTGATAAGGTTTTAATCGTCATTTGGTTAGTAATTTTATTTTTGGAGGCTCAGTCATTGTGCATAGTTTTGGGAAGATGAATGAAGATAATAATCATCTGGTGCAAAACAAAAAATGTGTTGCTCAATAAATTTAAATGAAACACCCTGTATATTTTCACACCATCAAATTCTCCTTTTTATAAGATTTTTTTATTATACTAGTTTCTTTGAGTGGTTGTTATGTTATTTCTGAAAATTATATGAAATCGTATAATTATCTATTTAGCCACCACACCGTTTCATCCATGTAACCAATAACTTTTTCTCACAGTACTGTGCTTAGACCATAAATGTAATATATGTAAAGGTATCATGTACAAATCAAATATTTGTGGAATTCAATACACGAGTCCGGGTCTAAGCGCAGAACTATAGGAAAGAGTTATTGTTTCCCGGGATTAGATAGATAATTATAGGATTTTCTAGAATTTCTAGAAATAACCACATAACCGGTCAAATAATCTAAACTAAACCTTACATCAAAAAAAAGCTTACAAAAATCCAAATTGGATGGTGTAAAAATATATATGATATTCCATTTAAAATTTTTGAGAAAAACGACATTTGGCGTTTTGGAACACCCTGTATAGACAAATCATACTATCGCCACATTCCATAGCTGAGCTCAGGTTTGTGTTCTTTCTCACTTTCTCTCCAAAGTACAACGAATAATTTCGTAAAATGGCGCGGTTTGTACAGTGAATTATATCGGTCTTCTTGTTTAGGAGAGGTAGTTCCAAATATCTGATAAAATATTGGGTGCTCAATTTAAAAAACATATGCTTGCTGTGACACGGTATTGTCCTGTATATTTCCAAATATTTTAGGAATGTACACCTAGGAGATATTGTCACGTGCCAAAATCACGTAATCTTTCTTTTTACTGTTTTGATCACTTATGAGTAATTTGAATTTCTCTTAATTAATAATAAATTAATTTTATTTTGTCAAGGTTCATAGTTTATTGATTGTAGAATTTCACACGTATTATATCTGTCATTCTGAGCGACTCAGTATTGTGTCGAAATCTTTTGGACACTAAAGTTACAGTATTAACGATCTTAGAAATTTCCTCATAAAATATCGTTGGTCCCTCGTAAATAGATTAGTATCTGCCTACAGTCTGCCCATCGGCAACCAGCGCACCACCTTATGATGTTTATACGTACTAGCCATATATGAATGTTTACCATCCTATCAAGATACCTTCTTTACCGGCCTTTATCTGCTCCATTTGATGCTCCGTCGAACGTGCCTTCTTCAGGGTCACCTATTCAACCTTCTTTTGGGGGTTGCGTGAGCAGACGGTCCAGCGCCATTTTACTTTCTGCTATAGTTTTGGTTGTGTGCGGGCGTTTTTGTTCATTAACTTCCATATTTTGGGGATATTAAGGCCCCAAGCATCAGTTTATGGAGTAGTACCCTTTTACTTTGTACCTTACGTTTAGTTGTGTTGGTTAGGGTACTACCCGTCCATTTTCTAATGGGATTTTAACCTCCAGCGTGGAAAGCCATTGTGGAGAACCACCATTCATACTCCTCCAGCTTTGTTTCCGATCTCTTCCCCTTGATAAGAAACCCTGATGTGAACAGGTTTTTTCTTATTCCATACATTTTGGGAACGAGGCAAGAAGCCCCTACCTTGTGACATTCCTTACGTCACTGCTCACTAATGGCCACTTATTTTTTGAGAGCTGAGAACATCACAGCTACGCCTAGAGCTGTAACTGGAAGAATACCATTGTCCAGATAAGTTTAGGTCATTGATTTCCAAAGTGGTCTATATCGACCCCTAGGGGTCTATGACAACCTGCAAGGGGTCTGCGTCAGCGAAAAAAAAATTGGGGGTCCATGAAATGAATATGGGGGCCGACAATAGTGCATCTCAATACATACACTGATAGTACCTATTTACTTATATCATACTAGCTTATAATATCAAAACATATACATTATTTATAAAAGTACCTATGAAGTAAAAAAATTATTACATATGTTTATAAAATTGTGTAAGTTGTAGGATGTTGGTATTCGCTTTGTGGTCGCAATACATTTTGAACTTGTAAAAACCTGAGAGTCGCAGTCTCAGAGCTTCGCTACCTTGCACTGACTTGTTCAATTCGTCACTCTGTAAATATGAATGTGGGACAAATACGTTTATTCGTTTCCTGAATCTTGAAAAGGAAAGTGCTAAGAAAATATTTAAAAAAATATAAACAGATAGTATATCAGACAAATTATAGTGAGTCAGTGTTATTTTGTTTGAGAGTGCTGGAGAAAAGTAAGTACATTATTATTTATTAAATTTTAGTTTTGTATTCGTAGTTAGCAAAGATAGATAAATTACGCCAATCATGACTTTAGTTATTAGTAGTTAAATATTCAGTCATGCAAAATTACACGAGTACTCCTCAATAGCTTCTTTTTGAAAGTTTTAGCAATCGGTAATATAATTACAGTGCAATCTCCGTAATTCGAGCTAATTGTTGCAAGAAGATGTTCGAATTATGGAATGTTTTCGGAAAAATCAAAAAATATTTTTAATATACAGCTGCTGTCTTATTTAAATAATTTAATTTTGCCCACAGATGACTGATGCCATGTCCGAATCTAAAAAGAAATGTAGACAGTACAGTGTTGATTATTTGAAATTTGGCTTCGTTCCATCATTGCCGGACAAACAATCGTCTATGTGCCTTTTATGCAACAAAGTTTTGGGCAATGACGCTATGAAACCATCTAAACTGCAAGATCATCTGAGAAGATGCCACCCTGATAAAACAGAGAAAGATTTGAAATACTTTCAAACACTCAAAGATAAATTTCAGAAGAGACCTACACTGGACAGAATGTTCGCTTCGACGTCACAAAGAAATGATGATGGTTTGCGCGCGTCTTACAATATCTCGTTACTTATAGCAAAATCCGGAAAACCGCATACTATCGGGGAGAAGTTAATTTTGCCAGCCGTTGAAGAGGTTTTAAAAACTGTTTTACACAAACCTGCATCTGGTATCATCAAAAGAATTCCCTTAAGCAACAATACTGTTGAATGACGTATTGATGAAATGAGTTCTGATATTGAAAGCTTCTTATGTAATTATTTGCAAACGACCCATTTCTCTATACAACTGGACGAGTCAACTTTACCTGATAATGCAGCATTATTATTGGCATATGTTCGTTTTATTATGAATCAAGAAATCTACGAAGAACTGCTCTTCGCAAGAACTTTGATAACCGACACTAAAGGTGAATCAATATTTCATGTTTTGAAGGATTACTTCATTGAAAAAGCAATTCCTTTATCAAATATAATATCAGTAGCTACAGATGGAGCACCTGCCATGGTTGGAGGTTATCGTGGATTTATAAGCTATTTAAAACAAAATGTGTCAGGGGTGTTAGCAATACATTGCGTCATCCATCGACAACATTTAGTTGTTAAAAATTTGAGTGTTATATTGCATGAATCACTTCATTTAGTCATTGATGCAGTAAACCGAATCCGAAGCAACGTGTTGAATGCGCAGTTGTGTGAAGAAAATGACGAACACATTCATCAATTACTCCTTCACACTTTCATTGGAACACCCTGTATAGGGAGCAACTTTTATGTGGACGCTCTAAAAATGTTGCTTTGGACTGGTGTCGTTCTTGACAAAAATTCGTTATTTCTTGCACATGGAAGGTGTATTCTATGAGGTGCATTTAGCAGAAAAGTCTAGCTAAGAGTCAAGTGCCAAGCTTCGTTCGCTACTGGTTTTGCTACTCTCTACTATTCGTCATTTGTTTGTCTGGGCGGTCCGTAGGACCTTTGCCCATTGCTCACTGTCTAATGTACGTTAGTCGGATCTGTCAGTACTGGCTGCCCAGAAACCAGACAATGTTAATGAAAAAGAGAAAGGGAAAGAGGAGAAAAATGGAGAAGAGCAAAGAAAAACAGAAGTGTTTAGTTTAAGAGGAGACACCTAGGCTTTTTGATTTGGGACACGGATTAATTTTGAGGTGTACTAAACAAATTTTTGATTCAATTTTGTTAGAGTGTAATTTTAAGTGTACTAAAAGTTCGCGCTAATTTTTGATTACAGTGCGAGCCGTGGCCTTGAATGGTTACGAACTTGCTCCACTGTGAAGTCCACTGAGCCGCGCCACAGAGGGTTGCTGTGCGATTCCGCTTGACTATAACGTCGCTGCGCCTGAAGTGTGACATAATCCCTCAAGTAAGGAATATCAAGGTCTCTGTGTAGTGTCTCGTTTGAGACATACTAGGAAGCGTTGCAAATTGTTCGCAAAGTTCTACTTTGCAGTACTTGAAGACTTTGCATATGTGTCTTGGCAAGAAAACACCAAGCTGCACATGCATAAGTAATGGCTGGTATAATAATCATTTTATATAGGCGAACTTTGTTTATCAAACTCAATTTGGAGGATCTACATAACAAAGGATATAGTTGCCGAAACGCAATTTGGAATTTTGTTTTCAAGGCTGCTGTATGTTTCTGCCAGATCATGCCTTTATCAAGGGTAACACCTAGGTACTTGGTAGAATTTGTCCATGGTACACGATTGCCGCCTACAGATATCTCTGCTGGGGGGCCGCGACGTTTTTTGGTACAATAAATAGCCTGCGTTTTCGAATGAATAATTTTAATCAGCCACCGTCCCGCCCACTCTAGTACTTCTTCCACCGTACTCTGCAACCCATCGTAAACCAGATCACCAGTACACGACTGGGCGACAAGTGCAGTGTCGTCAACATAGAGGTAGACTTCAGAGTTGCTGGGGCAAGGGACATCATGGATGAAAAGCGAATAAAGGATTGGTGCTAGGACCGAACCCTGAGGAACACCGGCCCGTACTGGCCGTGTTGTTGACAAAACATTGTTAATTTTAATCCGAAACTTCCTTCCTTCAAGAAAAGATTTCAGTAATTTTAGAAGCCAAAAAGGAGACATCCAAAAGCAAGATGCCAGTACTCATGCTGAGGGTGAACCCTCTGGTTACATGTTCCACCAGCCTGACTGCCTGTAGCTCGGTGCTGTGCTCGGACCGAAAACCGAATTGAACGTCAGGAATCACGTGGTGATTTGACGAAAAATTCTCAAGATGACGATAAATCACCTTTTCGGCGAGCTTAGAAGGAGCTGACAGCAGACTTATGAGACGGTAATCCTGAGGAAATATCGAACCCACCTTCTTTGGAATCATGATGACCTCAGCAGTCTTCCACCCAGCAGCGAAGTACTGGATTCTGGGCGTCGCATTGATTATTGTCACCAAATATGTCAGGGCTTTCGGCGAGAGCAGCTTCAACTCCTTGTTGGTGATTTGATCGTCCCCAGATGCTTTACGCACCTAGAGATCTTTAATATGACTTAGGAGCTCCGCTGGTGTGCAATGTGGAAACTCGGAGGGTTCCGCTAATGTGCTATGTGGAACCTCAGACGAATCTTCTGAAGAAGAGCCTCCGCTAACGCCGTTGGCCCTAAAATATTTCCTGGCGGATCGTACGATGTGCGGTTCCTCGTCGAGATCATAGTTGGGAGAGAACTGTTTTACCATGGCATCAGCGAAAACCTCGACCTTTAATCCGTTCTGAAGACTATGCCTTCAGAACCGTGGATGTGCGGGAGTTGTTCCCGCTTTCCGTTTCTGAGTGACTTTGCGACCCTCCAGAGAGGAATACTTGATTCAAGCATTCCCGCCAGAAAGTCGATGCTTTGCTCGTTGCGAAGTTCGTGCAGTGCGTTTCTCACTTCATGGACAAGATTTGTAGTCCTACGAATGTCATCAGGATGAAGCTACTCTCTTCCATTCTGTTACTTGTCTATAGTTATATTCGCTAAAAAGGAGCTTACACTAGCATGTAGTGCTTGCGTAAGTTTTATTTGCACGAAAGTTGAACTTGCAACGCGGACTTGCATGCATTTGTTGCTTTCGCAAATAAATTCTGTTTTGACAGAAATTACTTGCGCAACTAACAACTTTCGTGAAAGCTCCACTTGTGCGCTAGCTGTGCTTTCCCCTATTGCTTGCAGACAATTACTTCTTGTAAACAAGTGACGGGAGTGTTTGGTCGTGATGGAGAACTGCACTGACTGGACTTTAAGCAAGCATCACTTTAATCGATATCTGAGATATAATATAAGCTAGTAAACACGAAATTTCATAAAAACTGTTATCTGGCTTCAATCTTATCAATCAACTATCCAAAGTTGCAACGATTAAACGATTAACACGCTGCCGGCGAGAGTTATCTAGGGCGAACAATACATCAACGAGATTATATGAGATGTATTTACTATGAAATTCTCTAGTCATTTAATGTGTATTATGTTAATGAACATTTTCACAAAGATGCATTAAGTAACATGCAACGCTATATTTTCTTACGGTCATGTACACAACTTGTTTGGTTGTAGTCCCACAAGTCACTATTTCCAGGGATAATTAATTTATTATGTATTTTATCAATCCAGTCCAATCATAAACCAGAGTAAATAAGTGATCAATGAACACTTAAGTAACGAAACATGAAGTCCTACAACTTTACAGACATGCTATTTATTTATGTTAACTTTGTGGAACGATGAAATTTCAACTTCTTCAGAATTACTCGTACCTATATAGCAACTGGGTAAAATAGGAGTCAAGCAGGTTGAATCGGAACTTTTCACAAATCAGAATCTATACTTACACCCTTTTCCCAAAAGTGACTTGGATATTTTTCCAAGAATAAGAACCTTTAATTAGGGGCTGTTCAAGTATTACATGAGCACTATGGGGGGGCGGGGGGTCTTTGCTTTGCTTATTTTGGATGACATGGGAGGTAGGGGAGTCTAGATGATGATTACGTCATTGGTAATTATTTAATTTTTTACACGAATGGCAACTCTCACATTGTCTTTGCTTGAAAACGAAACGCATTTTCGGGGATTTCCGCAAATAATGCATACGTTTAGTGAACAGCGCGCGGTAATTCCCCTACTCGCTTTAGAACCGAGTAGGGGAATTACCGCGCGGTGTTCACTTGTCTAAATTTCCTCTATCAATGTATTGTTTCGTTTGGATACTATAGCGAGTAGACGTATTGTAAGCATAGTAAAGCAAGTTAACATTTGTGTTACCATTGATTCCATTAGCCAAAGTTTAATGTTTAAATAAGATGTCGTTTCACTTAGACAAATCCAAGTTATACCAAAAATTGTTTGAAAGATTTAAAAAATCTCATACAAGTACGAAAGTAAAAAATGTACAAAAGTTAGTTAACGAAGTGTGGCGAAATTACAAATTACAAGCAAAATCCGACAAGGAACTAGATATTATTGTATCTAAGAGAATCGAAGAAGAATTGCAAGCGGCGACTAAGAATAAATCCATTCTACTAAATTTTTTTTCTAAGGTGAGTGAGTGACGAAATCAGTTTAGGTACCTATGAGTACTAGAAATATTAGAAATCGCCAAAAAGTTTATCTTTACTGATTAGAAAATATTATGGCCTATTTCAAAGTATAGAGGTAATATTCATTATATTATAGATTTATTTTTTACCATTGACTCCGTCAATTGGTAACAAAGTACAGGATGTTAGTTTTATACATATATACAGAAAACTAACACCCTGTATTTTGTGACCGGAACGAATTGCTCGTTTAAATATATTAGATTTAAAGCCATATGGTTTTGTATTTACCATATATGTTGCTATACTTTGTATTTATGTAGCTTAATAAGAGAATCTTTAGCAGAAGCCATAGAAAGTTTTTATTTTTAGGCAACCTGTAAACCTGCATAAAAAACACAAATTATACAGTCAGCTTCAAATATTAAAAAAGAGGAAGAAGATAAAATAAAACCCGGTAATGAATCACAACAGCAATGCGAAATTAATGAAAATACAGATAAACAGAAAGATCTGAATGCTTTGTATTCTGCCAGAGATACTATGCCAAGCCGTGCTGAAGTTGATAAACAGATCATTAAGTTGCGCGAGGAAAAAAAAACAGCAAAACAGTCTTTAAACAGGAAGGTTCAAAACGCAGTTGCCCAAAAG